AGGACGTAACTGTCATATGTAAACATTTCCCATCATCACCTCACAATTGCTACATACATTCCTTCAAAAGGGAAAAGGCACCGGATGATGTCCATTACTTCCTCCCAGCACATCTAGACATTTTGCAAACACAGTGGCATGCCCAAATACAAATCCTCTTCTAGAAACCTGTTCACAGATCTGGGAGTCCCACTGTCCTCAGCAAGGATACAAATACACTAAAGAAAAATTCCCCTTCTCCACAATTTCATCTCTATTTAGCATTAGCTTGTAAATGGGGAAAATACTTCTCATTTAATCATCTCTTGTATATTATAGCTCTACTAGCATATGTTTTTGTGCTGGTTTTGGCTGAGATGATAGAGTTAATTTTTTTCACAGTAGCTGGTATGGGGCTATGGTTTGGATTTGTGCCGAGCAGGGCTTACCCAGAGTCAAGGCCTTTTCTGCCTCTCACCCCACCCCACCAGCGAGGAGGCTGGGGGGGCACAGGGAGTTGGGAGGGGACACAGCCGGGACACCTGACCCCAATGACCCAAGGGATATCCCACACCGTATGACGTCATGGTCAGCACATACAGCTGGGGGAAGGAGAAGGAAGGAGGGACATTGGGAGTGATGGCGTTTGTCTTCCCAAGTCACCATTACGGGTGATGGAGCCCTGCTGTCCTGGAGATGGCTGAACACCTGCCTGCCATGGGAAGTGGGGAATGAATTCCTTGTTTTGCTTTGCTTGTGCATGTGGCTTTTGCTTTAGCTATGAAACTGGCTTTGTCTCAACCCGTGAGTTGTCTCACTTTTACCCTTCTGATTCTCTCCCCTATCCTGCTGGGACTGAGTGAGCAAGCAGCTATGTGGGGCTGAGCTCCCTACTGGGGTTAAACCACAACAGTTTTCCACAGTAAAGGGAATTTAAAAGCTACATTACTGTGATTGAAATGGGTAGACACTGTTTCAAATAAAAGTGGGCAGGAGGTGGGAGCAAGACCCTTGGTTTAGATCTGAAAAGGCATTTCTGCATGTAATTTCCACTGAAGTCAGCACAAGCACATTTCCCCGTTGGTAAATCCAAGTATATTCTGAGAAAGTCCCCACTGATCACAGTATTAGAAATGATGCCATCCAGAAAAATCTTCTTAAATCAAATATGAGGATGTAAGGGCCTATTCAAGAACCAAACTGGAAAGCTACAGTATAATAACTAATTTACATTTCATTATAACCTATTTCATTTACCTATCTACTGACTCCATGCTTACATGCCTTCCAATTCATTTTCATATTGCTGATAGATCACCTAATTTCACACTGGCCTCTTCTGCTAACACAGGCTCCTTTTTGAAGCATAGCACTCTTAATCCTATGCTTCAAGTCCCTCCTGATAACCCTCTGTTGCCATTCTTTCCTATGCAAACTCCTTGACAAAATAAAACTATTCATAGGAATTTCTGCAGACAGGCACGGCAAACATTAAAAAAAACAAAAACCTTTGTTGGTGCCTTTGTTCATAGGGTAGGATTCAAAATTTACTGAAATTTGTCACTTTTTCTGTTGACTCAGAAGCATGTACATACAAACATGCATATATTTAAATTCCAGACTACATGATACCAGTTGGAGCAGGTTTTTAACTAAGTACTGATTTACCAGCCCTTGTGGATCATCTCCATTGATATCAGTGGAATGACACCATGTGTACAAGGTGCAACAGCAGCTCTAAGAAATCTTTGCCTCAAAAACCTCTCTCTTTCTCTCTCTCTCTAACTAATTTAACAGTTGGCATCATTTTCACAAGCCAGTCTGCTGTTCCAGTTTCCAGAGTGTTACAGCTGCTCGGGTAATAGCATATTAACAGCTGTCTACAAATGGCAGAACACACAAATCTCAAATAACACATTAAGGACAACTGCACATGCAATTAATATACATGCTTAGAGAAGTCTGCTGATAGAAAAATATTTGTACTGGAGAAGAAAAATCACCTATTAGGAGAGAAGTGAGCTGTGCTGGCAAAAATTAAGACTTTCAACTACTGCTTCCCCAGCAGCTTTTCGTGACTCATTTAATGATCATAGCCCTGCTTTATCCCCATGCATGCTGAACACAGCTACACCTGCAAAAGACTGTACATAAGCCTGGTCCCAGTGTGTGACCGTCATAGCACTGCTTCTCTTCAGAAGGTAGCGTTCGAGATTTACAGCCATAGCTGTACAACAAAATCTTGTTAGAGGTAGAAGACGAGACCACAGCCTATTAAAATGGATACACAAAAAGTGAGGGGATATTTCATCCTTAGCTAAGGAAACACATCGTCTGTAATTTAGGTGAAACTGAACTCCAGATTAGGTTTAAATGTCTGCGTGGGAACTATGTGTCAAAGGTGCCACGGAGTCCTGGGGCCCATTCATTTAAGAAGGCTAGCACCCTTCCAGATCCCCTGCAAAGCACATTCAGCTCTCAGCTGTCCCAGTCAAAGAATGGGAGTGTCTCACAAATCTTCAGTCATTTTTGCCAACCCCGTACGGCCACCTGGCATGCCCTACGAACACTTTGAACGGCATCAAGTACCCATTTGTAGGGAGGGAAATCCCACTCCCCGTTGACATGCTCAGTGACATTTAGGGTACAGCTCTGATTAAAGGCGGGTGTCTACTTCACCGAGCGAAGTGAACAGCTCTCCAGGATCCATTGACTCCGTTCACTGGAAGAGAAGGAAACGCATCTTGTTCGCCTACAAGCAGATTCTCAAGGTAGGGGAATTGTTCTGCAGTTCAGTCCTACGTGCAGAGTTTGATTCAGTTGTCCACATACAGGCATGAAATGCCATTTGAGGAAATACATCATTAAGGCTGATAAATATGACACTGGACCTACCTTTCTGAGCAACAGCTGGAGGCCACATAAATTAGCCTAAGGCATCTAAAATGGCTCCAAGGGCTTTTCTTTGTGTGAGCAAATGAACTAAGCCCTTTTAACAGCATCTTAAGAATTCTGCAAGAATTAATCATATTTTTAAAATAATATGGCTTCTTATTAATATTGCTATAGCTTATGGAAGCTTCAAGAAATTGCTAAACTTGCTCACAACTTAGAATATCACTGCTTTGTTACATCAGGACAAGTAAAAGCAGCCTACTTCAGTCAGTCTTTTTAAGCAACCTTTCATCGTCTGGTGCTCTCCTCTAACAGTGGACCTTTTTCGCCCAAAAACTGGTCTTATAAGGCAAGCCTTTTATGTGTCTCAGTTTCTGCTTAAGGTAACGGTACTCAAGAAAGCACATGGCTGCTATGTGGCTAAATGTCACATTTAGGTTTCTCCATTGCAACAAAAAATAATTTAAATTTTATTCTATTTTTTTCATGAAAACATTCCTATGAAAAAAAATCTCTAGGTACCATTTGCCCCTTAATTTTGAAGACACTTCCATTAAATTCCAGTTAAATTTCATTTAAATCCATTAAATTTCAGTTAAGTTTCATATCAGTATGTTCCTTTTAGAAGTTAGTTATTCTTGCTGCAAGAATTTTCTCCTTGAAAATGTAAATACTATGTAAATACTCCTTGAAAGCAACCTCTCAGTAATTATATTGTACCTTTCCACTACAGGTAAAATAATTTCAAAATTTTAATGACAGATCTCTCTGAGTTAAATAAATGTTACACCATTACAAAAAAAGCTAAACTGAAATATGAACACTAATACTGATATTTTACTGAAAGTCAGAAACTTAAATCCACATGTGGACATCCGCGCAAATGGTCGGGGCTTTTGCATCTGCCACTCCCTAAAGCCTGTGGGAGCTGCAGGCTGCGTAATACGTTTGACCATGTAGGTAGCACCTCAGGTCATGGACCAGAATCCCTTCATGGTACGTACCATACAAGCACTGAGTAGAAAAACAGCCCTGAACCTAAACAATAAATAGGAACTATGTGTACAAAGTCTGGAGAAGTTGGAGTAAGGGTAAGGCTTTTGCATTAAGCTATAAAGGATTGTCAAAGAAAGAATCAAAGGAAATAGTTAGAGGCAAGAGAAGGAAGAAGAAGTACATTTTTCACCTCTATCTCTAGAACTGACTACAAAACAAGGTCAGGTTGGTTTAGTTAACTAGAAGGTACAAAAGTTCAACTGAGGTCTGCCTGGAGAAGGGTGACACATTAGGCATATCGGTTTGACATATTAGAAGTAATAGAGTTTTATATTAGTGATTATATACCAAGAAATTTGCTCTGACATTATAGTCATGTTCAGGCTGAGATTCCCACCCAAAGCTCCAAGAACACCCTTACAACTCCGAGAACACTCTTACTTCCTCATAACCTAGTATCTAAAATGGCAGCAAGATTTGTCCCTAATAGACTGGCCACTTTCTCTTCCTTAATCTCTTAAAATCTATGAAAAACGTCATTATTGAAGTTCTCTTATTTTTGCTAAGTTTATGAAAAATTTGGCTTTGTATTTCTTTTATTATGTATTTCTATTTCATTAGTTTTAATTAATTTGCTGTATTCCACATTTATTGTTTTAAGCAAACATTTTCATTACCAAATGAATAAAGTACTTTGTTTCTATAGAACTGGTTCCTTAAATTCTTTCTTTCCATGCTCTGATGTTTGGGAATCAACAATGTGTTCGACATCTCTGAAAATCAGGGGGATTACGATGTGTATTACAAAGTCTATCCTAAGATAATTTGTCCAGAGTCACTCAATAAAGCAGTACCAGATTTACGGTTATTGTCATGTAGGCTTTTTTCCCTAAAATTTTTGGTGTATTATAGATTCAGATTCAGGTCTCTATCTGCAAGGACTTGCATCAAAAAATCACGTGTCTTGATTTCCAGTTATCTACAAATAGATGTAGGAAGATTATTTTTCAAAGTAATAATGAAATTCAAAAGGAACAGGGAAATGCCATGACAAAAAGTTGTATTTCAAATCTTGCTAATCTAATTTAAATAATAAGCATAAGTGAAAAATATAAGCCATAGTTACTCACCTACGATGAGTAAGAAAACTACCACTGACATGTCCTGAGCCATCACATCCTGGGGTTGGACATGACATTCCTTCCGTCTTCACTGACTTCCAAGAGAACTGTGAGCCATTTAGGTACCCATCCTTTTGCCTTTTGGCAGCTAGAGGACACCCTGACGCACTGCGATGGGATGCATATTTTCCAGTTATATGACCCTGACCATCACAACCAGGAACTGGACATCTGGATAGCAGATAGATGAGATAAACTTTATTGTCTTGCCATCATATACCTGGTAGCCTCTACAACAAAGTCAAAATAAACCTGACATGAAAAGAAAAGAACAATCATGCACTATGGTCTTAAACAAGATACTCGGTAGTGGGTAAAACTACAAGCAGAACTTTACTAATATGAAAAAAATACGTTCTTTGATAAACTGTAAGGAGGCTAGCCAATAGATGAAGTCACAGCTGTTGATATTGTGCAATGGCCACAAAAGGACTGAAATACATATTTGAATTGCAGGTGTTCATTACAGTAAATATCACACTGGAATGGAAATGTTGGCTACTGAGCTCCGCTCAGCAGGGAAACTGCCCATAAAAACTGTGTAAGCATAAAATCCTACTTAGTATAATCCTTGGTACATTTTATTTATGTGTATGGCATCTAAAGAGAACTTGTCTGAAGTCATGAAAATGTCAGGTATAAACAGTTGGGTATGAAGTGATCATAGCACCTCATCAGAAATGCTGAGCACCTTTAACCACTCTCTGAATAGGAGAGATTATAACAAACTATGTGCTACAGCCTAGAGAGATCAATGAAGACAGTTCTGTATTAAACTGATGGTTTGCCTTACTTGGGAATTCCCCCATACATTTGCCCTGTATACTTCTAAAAAACAAATAACCAGAGTTAGAAGGAACAGGTTAGAATCTTCAAAGTGAAATGTTTAAAGAAAATAATGTTTTTTCAGTACGCTGCTACATAACACATGTCAAAAAAAGGCTGATTACTTCACTGTTTGTCCTACACTAAAATATTGCTGCAACTCTCCACTGAGGATCCAGTCTTGAATAGTCTAAGTACTCACTAAATCCACCAAGTTCAGTGGCCACCGATATCAGAGCACCTTGCAAGAAGAAACCAAGACTTATAGGCAGGCATTTGTTCATCTTGCAAACTGCATAAACAGACTTTTTGCAGCAATCTCATATAAACAATTTTCTATTCCCACAACTACTTTATTTAGCATGTATGGCTTGTCTATAGTATGCAAACATGTTTAAGGGTTTTTTAGGAGATAAAGATCTAGGTAGTCTTTTAATTTAATGTGAAAAACAATTTTAAAATTGTTTCTAAATTGTAGAAGATTCTATCCTTGGCTGAATATTGTATCCTTTGCTGGATAAATCAGCACAGACCTCACTCAGAGAGATCAATGTGGCCATCCACTCTTGGATAACTAACACACAATAACTTTTATGCCTTAATAAAAAGCTGAAGATATATATGACCTTATAAAATACATGAAGGCCCTTTGACAATATTTGTTCTCACCTAATTGGCTCTTGGTCTTCTTTGTCTTCCTTGCTTTGTGCTATCCTGATTCCACTTTTCTTTGCTCGCGGACAGCCTGAAAGACTGAGTGAAAGAAAACATTTTAAAAAGCAATTTCTCATTCTTGGATACGGTTTACAAGGGATATGCTTTCCACCTGAAAAACTAGCAGAATAGGTAATCCTGTCCAGTTTCCAAAATCAAAGTTCAAGTGGTTATAATAAGGAGAGCTGGAGTAGGCAACCAGGAGGGGGAATGCGCGTATCTGGACTGGTGAGGCAGGCCAGGACCGCAGGCGCCGTGCAGGACACACGCACGGGCAGTCCCTGAGGAGCCAGGGAAAGCAGCGCTGAAACTCTCTGCCTAATAACCCCTCCAGCTGACTCAGCAGTAGCAGCCACAGCTGTAAAAGGAATACAAGCCAGTGTTTGAGGGCTGAGAGCCATGACGTCCTCTGTATGTCCAAGAGGGATGGAAGAATAGGCTCACAAAACAGGAGACTTTGGATCTCTTGGTAGGACTAAAGATTTCTCTAGGGAGCACATCAGAAACATTATCAGACCTTCTCAAATGTCATGTAAGAATCCTATAGAAAGGTTGAATAAAAACACGGCAGAGCTCAGAGCTGCACAGTGCCCTCCTGAGAAAGAGTTGAAGTGCTCAGAACTCAGCCAGACAAAAAGATTTGGTAGAGACAAAGTTATATGTTAGGCTAAGCAATGTTACATTTAACTAGACACCGAGAATGTTGTTTTTAACTACACAAGATGGAAAAAGACATATTTATTCAAATATTTTATAAGCTCAGCTTTCCCTTTGCATATGAAGAACTCATTACAGAAACTATTTAGAAGACTTGACAATGGCTTTAAAAGATATTTAATGATTTTTTTTTAAAGTAGTTGTTATCCAAGGACACAAATATGTCTACCGAAAAATCATGCCTTGTCCTCTATTTAAATGTTATTTCCATCTTAACATATCAGCATTAAAAAAGAAATCCATCAGTTGAACACCACCTTCAAAAGTATCGAGATGAGAGACAAAGCAGTATCACCAAAGAAAAATTTCTGTAGAGAAAGAAACAAAATAGAAGATTAAATTTTTGTTTTCAGCATGACAAAAGGTCCTTCAGTGTTGTATAGCAGGTCCTGTCTTCAGGAAGAAGAGACAGAAATGGTGGTAGCAAAATTTTCAGTTATTCTGTCTTGTCAAGACCAGTGAGGACTGAGAGGCACAAGCAGAGAAAAGGGTGGTGCAGTCACAGACAGAATTCTGCGTTGATAAATGAAAAATAGACAAAAATAGAGCTTACATGCTGCCATGTCATAAATAAGTCAATTAAAGAAAAGGAGGAATGTTAGCACAAGATATTGGACATAGCATATTACCTAGCAACTTCTAGTGAGGTGGCATGGCTACATCTAGAGTGGTAAACGGAAGGGACCTAGTACTGCTGTTTTGACCCAAGACCAGCACGCTCACATCTGTACAGTTAAACTCTCTGGCCCTGTAAAGTAGGACAGCTACACCCATATTGCTTATAGAGAATGATCTGGACCCATGCTGAGCCCCAAATTGTATCTGAGAATTGCCTGGGAGAGTTTCAGTGGCCCAGGGTTATTACCACGCCAGGGGACATGCTAACAATTCAATAGTGTAGGCATCTACGCTCTGGTGCTTGGACCTGTGCACTCATCCTGTTTCATTTTCTAGTTTAAAGGCAGTTGACCATTTTCCTTTTTAAAGTAAGCTGCTCTTTATTCCAACTTGCATAGTGCACACCAAAGTACCATAGTTCCCTGGGTACAAACTAAACCTCTGAAAGCCTGTGCCACTTAAAAATAGTTTTTTTCAAAAATAACAATACCATAATCTGTAAGAATACAGAGGCAGGAGGAACAGAGTCTGAGGGATTTAGCATAAGAGGAGGCAGGCGCTGGGGCAAGGGGACAGTTCGGGAAGAGGTTGGTTTATTGCTCCCCAGACAAGCCGGACTGCAGAAAGTGAAGGGGAGAGGACGGGAGTTATAGATATCCTTAGCTTATCTGTGAGACTACTTGTACCAACTGTCTGAGAATAATCAGGTTTTGCATCTGAAAACTAAATAGTTAATAGAAATGCCTCAGAAAGCAATACTTTTTTTAGTAGGTGTACAGATGGGTATGCTTGTAGATGATGACATTTTCATAACAAAATCTGAATGAAGACTTTCTGCCTTGACTAATGATTTAATTCTTTCTACATATTAAATCAATTTAATTATCACCTACTTATTGGTATTTTGGTCCGTCATCTTTTTGCAAGAGATCTTTGTATTCTGGCACTATGATTTATTAGAAAATTCTTAGACCTTTCAGGTCCTCTAAACAGACATTTCCAACAGACAGCTTCTGAGGTTATGATTAATTCATTTTTCCTCTGACAGCACATTCACCAAGAAAACATATGTCAAGCATGAGCCTTTGCTTTAATTTTTTCTGACCTATAATAACCAAAAGCTATTACAAAGTAAACATATTACTTCATTTTTATATCAGTTTAATTCCTTCTATATGAAGATAAAAGACAACAAGGGAAAGTCAACACTGGTACATGCTGATATAACTTCTTGCATACATTGAATGGGTGTGTGGAACTGCAGAGAGTTATGGCAGAGTTAAATTAGCCTTCATGTGTGCTTGCTGTTGAGCAGCCATTTTAAATACAAATGATACCTAGGCATCTTGGCAGCCATTTAGGAGAGTAGTTTGTCATTCCTTTCCTTCTGAAACTGAAAGCGTTGTAACTGATGGTATCAAATACAAACAAAAATGCTAACTCAGATGTAAGCAGAGGTAAATGTCAATTTTCAGGTGGGAATTCGAAAGCTTAGCTGTGAACGTGCTTCGGGTCTTTCATACTTAACAGCTCCAGGTTCAGGCTACTGGTTTGCTGTCCTTTTAAAGAGCATGCGTTTTTCCAGCCTCACCACCTCAGAAATGGCCTTGACAGATATCATGACCTGAACGGTGTGGGGCTGGCTCCGTGTAAATGTGACAGGTCTCCTGGGGACATTGGTGGTTTTAAGCAAAGAAGACATTACTCCTTCAGTGTCAGTGCCCCCATACCCACAGGCAGCCAAAGACCCAGGGCTGCTGGAGGCCTTTTGGAAGAGAAACAAAGGAGTTATGTGGTCAGTATAGACATGGTGCCATTTCAAAAGGTTGAATGTGTTAAATCCCAATGGACTGGACGAATTTCAGATCACTTAGTTTTGCAGGATTACTTTTTATATCTTTATGCGTACTGAGTATGCTGCAGAATCAAATGAAAACTTGGTCCAGCACTCATCTGCAAAAATACAAGAACGTAAGAATTTACAGACAAAAGCAGGTAACGCCATCCAGTCCTACAGTGGCCAGGAAAGGATACCTTTTTTAAAAATGAGCTGACATGCAGTGATTCTCCCCTGGTAACCTTGCCAGCTTTTAGGTTTCTTGTTTGTGACACTTTGCCTTCCACATCTTCACTGTCCTGCCTGTTTCTAGTTAAACAGATGACCAAGTATATAAACAGCTTCCTGAAAGAGCGAAGTCAGGGCATAGCTACACCAAGCATAGTGCTGGCAGAGGTGTGAGCTGATAAATCCACATGTAATTAAATGTAGTTCTAAATTTGACCTTAAATCCCTTTGAAAGCGTGATTTGATCTCCTATCTCATGTAAGGGCTTTTAAAATGTTTACATCTTCTCCTTTATAATGTTATTTGTACTTTTGATGTTGAACTGTGCATTACAGAAATTGTTATTGTGATCTTTCATTTTTACAGCATGTAAAGGTATGGCACATTTGTAAGTAGACTACATTATTGTAGTCTCTATGTTTTGACTTTAAAACAGTTGTTGCTTTTAGTGGGAATACCTTTAAACCAGGAATTTGTGTATTGACTCGTTATAGCCAATTGTAAAACTACAGAGACTTGGTGAAGTAAGCAAATATCCAGACTCAACAGCATTACTAAGCATGGGAGTAAAGAGCCTTTACTAACAGAAGAGAGGTGGGCTACACTATTATTCTTTGATTAAACAGTGGATAGCCTATTTACAAAATATGGTGCAGCTCTTCTCTACTGCTCTATAATTCTCGAATAGCCACAGGGGAATTGCTAATTACACAGCATTCATAACATTACCTCTACAGAGGTACCACCATAATTGCTTTTGGGGTTACCAACAATACACTAATTAGTAAATGTGAAGCTTTCTTTGGCCCTTGGTAAAGATCACAGTTATAGTTTAGGCAGTTAAGGTAACAGCTTTCATCCATAAATTTCTCTTTCCATTCTTCTAACTTGACGCAGTTATGTACAATGTGTTGCGATTTAAAAACAAGCCAACCTTTATTCTGAAATGTACTAACAAGACTGGTGCATATTAGATGAAAGAGGTACTTTTCCCCTCTGATTAAAGTTGGTAAGGCTTCAACTGGGAGAGGAGGTCAACAACTGGGTCCAATTTTGCATTTCAAGAAATACAGACGGAGTCTGGAAGAGACTGACAGGAACAATCAGGAAATATAATTTGTGGGAAAAAAATGCAGGAATAGGATTTGAGTCCAGAAAAGGTAAGACTGTGAGGAGAAGAGTTAAGTCATTCAGAATGTAAAGCAGCAGAAACTTCTGAATGTTGAATTGCTTCCCTGCGCTAACAGAGAACGTAGAAAAACTGGGTTCATCTTCTACAAAGATTTTGCTAGATATTAGCAAAAGTCCTACTACCTATTTGGGTAGTGAGCCATGCTGAAGCTGAGAAATGTTATTAATTGGTGATAAATAGAACGAGTTAGACCAACCCATGTCTATGTACGGCACTCAATCCTACCTCAGTATTGAGAGAGGGAAGAGAGGTCTGTTGAGGTCCCTTCTAGCCCTTCAGTTTTTTGATTTAAAGAACAAAACCTTCTCTTTACATACCTTCGATGTGAAGCATAATTTCCAGTAATATGCCCAGAGCCATCACACCCAGGGGTGGGACACCTAGAATAATAATGGAAGAGAGACAGAGCAGTGTTACTAACAGGAAATATATACCTGACCATTAAAAACTATTCATTGGCTCAGTCCTTGTTTCCACAGGTGCCAGCCCTGGGGACCTCTAGCCATTGCTAAACTTGAGCTTAATTCCACACCAGGGGCAAACATTTTTTTTTTCATTCATACAATGTTTTCCTTTGCTAATCCTCACCTGCCCACTCAAACGCTTTCTGGATATCTCTAGCATTGGCAGATTAGTGGAGATTTCCAGCAGCAGCCCGACATCCCCACACCACCAGGAATGAGTAGGGTTGACGGCAAATGGACTATCCCCATGATGTATGCTTAGGTAATGGCTAACATTACAGCGAGCCGTTTTGTTTTCCATCAGAGCTATTGCTCCAATCCCACTGCACAGTGTCAGGAGGTCACACCATGGAGAGACCCCTCCACCTCTCCATGAAGCGAAGGAAATGCCTAAGGAAAAGGAAATGTGTAGACAGGGAAGTAAAGCTGGCCTCTTGCAGAGAAATGGTAACCCACCCAAACACTCCCAAATACCAAACTCCAGCTCCAGACAGAGAAGTCACTGATACAGCCATCAGTGGAATTTCTAATGGTGGAACAACATTAGAGTCATCAAAGAAAATGGATGGGTTTTTTTTACATCGCAAAGATGATTGCGATTACCACAGAATAAGCTAAATTATAATGCTAAGTAAAATCATTAGCTGGTATTTGAACTACTACACTAAGTCACAGAAAAACAAAGGAAGAATTAATTTATATTCATTTTACTGAACAGATGAATGCTACATGAATTCCAAAAAGTCACTTTTCTTGAGCCTGAGTTTTGAATTTTAGCGATGCTTTAAAGTTTCACTTGAAGAAGGCATTCAAATTCAAAAAAGCATGCGCACAAATTCAGATATTGCATTGTGAAACACCAGATTTCCATCACATTGAATTGTTTCGCTATTTGAATCCAGAGTTCATGCAGACTTTGGCTTTCACCCCGTAGTCACATGTGTGCTTTCCTTAAAGTTGGTCCATACTGGTAAACTTTTGTTTCACAAAGGTTTCTGCAAAGACTTGAAATTTTCTCAAAATCAGGAATTAAGCAACCCAGAATTCAGTGCAAATGGGGCTGTTACATTCCATTAAGTTGAATTTTAGCTCTTTAAAGCTAGTAAGCATTACCTACTTCTAAGGAGCTCAGCAGGGCCAAATTTCAAATACGATTAACGCAATCTTGATAGAGATAAATTAAATGGGAATTTGTTAAATGGAGTTCTCATATGGTCTCCATCCGAGTCAGCTGTTATTCAGTTATTCTTATAGAAAACATTAAAATATGGCAGCACTTCCAGGATGTAATCTGGTAAAACCTCTGGGGTTCACTACGACACTGAAATTTCTCTTCTATATAACAGTCTGTGTGCTTTGGACAAGAAGTCTAAACAACATCCTTAAAGACAATTCTCCTTTTCTCTTTACATCTTTGCATAGGATCAAGCATAAGACTGTGATCTTGACAGTGACTCTTAATAGTTTAAAGACCAATATACAGGTTGACATCACACATCAATCTTTCTGCTTGTAGAAAGATAAAACCTCTAATTTTTGCATAGGTTCTTCTGACACAAATTAAGTAGAAATATGGCCCTTGGTGAAGAAGTCATAGTTCAGTCTGTATGGCCCTCACCATTCATTATTTGCTGAGGTGGCACCTGGCTAACACAAACTTTGGCTATTTCTTCAAGCTAAAAAATAAATGGACAGGGCATCTTACATAAAGGGTCTTATATTTTAAATACTTCACATCCAAATATTTATATATTCTCACTATTTATATCTTCTCACTAGTATTTTATATATTCTCACTATTTTATAGCAAATATTTTGAGATCTGCAGACAATCTCTTGCTTCACGTGTTTATTTAGTGCAGGTATCTTCAGTGATCTACAATGCCTGTTTCCTACTTCCATCGAGACCAGCTGCATCACTGAAGCCTGACTGAAGCCTCTGAAGATGCTGAATCAAAAGTTATGGGAATAAGAATTAATTAAAGGAATGGACTAAACTTTGCCTCTAAAAGTCCATGGCATTTAAATGAATAAAGGAGAACCAGGAGCCATGAGACTGTTCTTCTGCAGTCTGTCTGAGGTACTACAAGGATCCCTTCTTTATGAACCCATTCTATTTGAAGCCATTATTTACCTCTACAGACTTTTCAATCCTTATGAGAATAAGCCATTATCAAAACTGAAAAATGTTTTTTCTCATCTTTTCCAAGACTTTTGCTACAGGCAGGCACAATTAATAGTGTCTTAACAAACAGGATTTATAAGATGCAGCAGTATAACCAATCAATCAGTCTTAAAATTAGACCATTACACCTCAACCATTTGGATAGTCTTACATAATTTAAACAACTAGCTTATTTCTGTGTTATTAAAAAAAAATCTGAAGGAACTGGAACTAAAGAAGAAATCATCCTGCTGTAAATTGAACTGAGAATCTTCACAAAGGGCTCTGTACAGTTCACATCAGTTTAAAATCATACTTTTGATTAAACCAGAAGACATTTTTAAGGTAAGCAAGGATTCTAGAAAGACCTTTCAGATTTTGATTTTGGCACTATAATATTTGGTTTCAAGTCTCATAAGCTTATATTGACCTAAATGTAACAGATGAAATGAGAGCTTAGTGCAGTTGGTAAGAACATTTTAAAACCCTGGAACATTTCTATTTACTGCTGTTTCCATTCTATGGGAAGTGCTTATAACCACTGTGAAATAAAGGATGCAGTCTGTTTCAACTATAAAGTTATTACAATGTTTACTTGCTATCCTAAGCAGATTAGATAAGGAGACAACTACAAGACCTTCTACCATTGGAATTGTGAGTCTGTATTTTCAGAATGCCTGATCATACGTAGGACTTACATATACCCTGCTACTTTACTATCAACTACTACCTATGCATATTTGACTTAACCAATCATATGTACATGCAACAAAGCCAGAAAAATGTATGCACAGGTGCTTATAAGAGGCAAGTGATGTGAAACCCTTTGAAAATGAATATCAGAGGAAGCGGAAAAAGATAGTGAGCTTCCTCACTTAAAGTGAATGTAATTTGGCAGGTTCAGAAGCTTATTTGTAGACTCTACATAATAGCTTATTGCAACAAAGGAAATGCTTTAGTACTGTAAAGAGCGAGGTGACAAAAGGAACTCACCCTGCAGAGTGAAGTTCAGAGCATATAACACCAGCACTTTACCACAAATTCAGGGCATCCAGTAAAAGAAAGAGCTTGTCAGTGAAGGGGAATGCAGTTAGCATTGCCTTGATGTCCCACTCGTTTCACAGAACATCCCAGAGAAGCTTTTTTGGGAATATAAGCATGAGCAGAAAGCAGGGCAGGCAGCAGAACAGCAACAGCTGTGGCAGGTGGGTTTAGTGTTTGGGGTTGTTTTACAAGCA